AWTTTKGKTTGWAGAAATAAAATGGATGATCGACCGTGCGCATTGTTCRCGCACTCAATTAATTTACTAGAACATTCTGCAAGTGGCTATTGCATATATTTCAGAACTGTTTCCAATTAAAACAGTGTAGCGTAGAAGTTGATATTTTGCTTTTTCAAAGGTAATCTGAGCTTACATCAGCATTTGTCTCTGCATCGCTTTTATGGTACAGTTCAACTCAGTGCGTAAACTGACAAGCATTTCACAGGGGCTGATYTCGCAAAAAGAGCATCCAAGTAAAAGCTTCTTAGCGTCTATTCTCTACTTCAGTATAAAATTTCGCTGAGTGATTTTATTCATCATTATCAATGATATCCCTTTTTAAATCAAATTGTTTGTTTTGACATCTTTTGCGATWCCTTCMATTCGCGTGTKTTAACCGCTTGGGTGTAATAAAGTYCATGTATGTCAGCCAAATGAAACAAAGTCCAAATGATACGAATCTGTCAGACTAGTACTTACGACCTTACGCTCACAGCTACTAGAATTACTATGAAATCASTCTTGTACAAAAATGATTACAAATTCAAAAACTGGAAAAACGTCTAAAAATACAGTTTTTGGATCAGAACAATAAACAATAGTTTAAGCAATCAAGACAAACAAAAAGGTTGCGTTCGTTGTATAAATCAGCGCGCGACWTATGATATATAGCTTTCGACAACAGAATAAAAAATGTCTGCATTTCCGTGTATTTTGCTCCGTATTATCGTTTCCTTATTACCTGTATTTCCTGAGCTGATAGCAATCCATGATGCAGCGAAAACACATAATATCAATCCATATGTCATGATGTGCGCTCTCACGCGAGAGAGAAGGCCTCACAAGATGGGTGTAACTGTTAAACTTTTCTGTTCCTTCGTCTTGACTTCTAATTCAAGGTTAGGGGTTGAGAACCTTGTCAAATCTCGGCCAGCTTTCGACGAAACGTCCAGCAGAATCCATTACACTTCGCTGCTACGACATAATCTTCACAAAAGCAAAACCCATAAAACCGTACGCAGAGAGACTGTGCGTCACGGTAATCCGCATATCTTGGCTTGCGTGAATAAAGTAACGCAATGCGTCACAGTGATTATTTCTCAGTGTCAGTGATATGGGTATGTATTTGGATTATCAAGCTCTCTAGAASCTATTTACGCTGAAGYAATCGGTCAGATAAGATTGTTTGGACCATAAACAGTCAATGWCTCACTTGTGACCTTATGGATTTGAATCAATCCTCTTGGAAAGCGAGGCAATGACAGGAATGTCGACTTATCAGTGCTGATAGCTAAAAGCTAAAGCTATATTTACAATAATCTTAGCTGCATTAATAGAACAAAATGGCAGTTTTCACGATCAAGCAGCTAGATTAACTGACAGTTCAAGAAACTTATGATGGCATCAGAAAACTCCACGAAAAAAATAACATAAAGACGAGAAAAACTACAAGATAGCGTCTCGTTCAATATCTTCCCTCGTGGTTTTGTAATGTTTACACATCTATGGTTTGTTGTTTACATATTTTGTATATTTGTGCTTTTGTTAATCATCTGTGTTTTATTGCGAGTAGTAAAGATAGGGTGAGCCGCAAACACAACGGCACAGTAGGGGGCAGACTTACATACACTGAAATGGTGCTAGTGTAAATATGTCAACCTCCATTCACCAACACCGTGATTCTCAYGTCAATTCAGCCAACGCCGCACTTGAATTAAAAAAATATGAAAAATTTATCGCCTCCTATGCTGGGGAGTATTTTGTACTTTGAGAGAATACTCCTGGTGTGACAAACCGTGATAATTTTCACCCCTGAAAACCTTTCATTTTTTTTTTGTTCAATATTGGACCTCAGACCTTTACTTTGACATCCTGCAGTGAAAATAGTTCATTCACGAATAATGGCATGGTTATAAAAGTCAAGCAACTTATATCTAGAAACATCCGTCATGACTTAAAAAATAGACCTCGCCACAATCAATCAAAAGGGAACACAATGAATAGCTTTTTAATTCTTTCTCCTCCCTTAACTGGTTTCTCCGATCTCAGCTCCAAATTAATCCAGCCGCACCAGATACGAATGCTCTAGAACTAAAAGCTGCGAACCCCCGTTGCAAATACTGCCTGCTTCAGTCCGACCCAGACAGATCAAAACGACGATTTTATGGCATTCGTATCTACAGATTGAATTCCAGTAATTGTTTTGTGTTTTGCTCGTGCTGAGACCGGATAGTTAATAGTGCGTAGGCGAACGAACGGAAGATCAAGAGTGAGATGGAAGATGACAATAAAAAAATGTAAAGATGCTGAGATGAGATCACAGTAGACAGGCCACAATGAATAGAATTGTACACAGTACCTCACCTCATGCTCTTCAAGGGGATAACAGAAAAGCGGTTATAGCATCTTATAGAACTGGATTCATAGAAATAGCATKATTATAATTGAATTCAGTGGCTGCAATCAATGACTGGGTCTTGCGTCATGTTAACACCGCGTACAACACCTTAAAAATAAACTGACCAGCAGCACCGAGGCTCAGATGAAATGATTTATTGTTTCCGTTTCGAAGAAGTTAATATTTCGCGAAGTGCTTGCGCTAAAAGTCAAACAATTAATCCATAAACAATTTTAAATAATAATCTGATTGGTTGAGGCTGAGTATAACATGAGGAAATATGCATGCTGTTCAATGACGATTAACCAGCCAATCATTAAAGAGTATTAGATATTTTGAATGAAATGAGAATAGTTGGCAAGTGGTCACGTGGGCATCCCATTCATTTTTGCGATAATTGAAATACTAAGTGTCAATCTAAAACTGCTGCTTTTGCGCATCCTCTTTTATCAGTTTCTTCAATTTTCAAATGTGTTCAGAAATTAAAGTAAAAAATTCTAGTAATCAAGTCAAGAATATTTTGCATGATATCGGAAGGATATATTAAAGCAAGAACAAAGATAACGGCATGATACTGCGAATACCTTTTTCAAAACAGTTTGATCGGAGCTCATTATAAAACACTTTGTTCTGAAATGGTTGGTTTTAGCATGTATAATATATATTAAAGAACGCAGGGGAAAAAACTGAATAAATTGAAAACACAGTCAATGCCTCTGGTAATTATCATGGTCGTCCTACAAACATCCTAAGTATTTTGTTTTTATTTTCTAATTTCAATTTGTAAAACCTCTAGTTTCTGTGTTCTTAATTCTTTGCAGATATTAGGCAAACAACACATTGTAGTAGATATATTAAACTTGAAATTATTGGATCGACAATTAATATTTCGGTATAGAAGCGAACGTCAATCTAATTCCACATATATACAAAGGTTATTTAGACGCACGGCCCACAGGACACCTGTATTTGCATAGACCCCACCAGCGGTTATAACATGACTTTTATCCAGCTTTAATACTATGAAAAACATGTATAGCTAAAACAGCTGAATACCTTGTGCAATTTTTGTGCTAAATTTGAAGCAAAAAAAAAGTTGATGAGAGATGATTCAGTTCGTCGAGGTTTGATGCGCGCGCAATTATGTACCACTTCAATTGGCTGACACATCACGTAAATGAAATGGTTGCTAATTATTGGGTTTATGAGAAAAATAAATATTCAAATAGGCATAAAAACATGTAGATATGATTTTGAAATCAAGGGATTAGTAACTTGTTGTTCGCAGGCCAAGATAACATGGCGAATGTCACCAAAAAAGAAATCTCGACTGTGTTTTTCATAATGAAGATTTTCATGGCTATGTTTATTGCTTGTAAATGCTGCGGTATCTACCCACTTAGCGTCGAAAACCTACCAGACGGAGTCAGATTTGAAAAGAAAGTTTTTCTTCGCCACAGAATTAAAGCAAAGAATGTTATTTCAGAGTTCCAGTGTTTGGATTTATGCCTGCGAACTTCCCAATGTGAGTCGATAAATATTAAAACTAACAGAACTAACAGCAAGCGTGATTGGTGTGTGATTAACCACAAAGCAGCGAACATCTCTGTGGACCTTAAACCAAGAGAAAATTACACCTATTTTCATGTTAACTCAACGTATCTCAACCAGGTAAGACTGCCACCTTACAAAACGAAAAATTATAAGTGAAAAACTAGAATCCTGAGAGGGCTTATTGATAGATGAAACACTTGGGCTTGGTGGACAAACTTTCTCATTTTGAGTTGAAAGAAATCCGGACTAATAGTTGGATTTTGTTTTTGTTTTATGTCACGTATTTTTTGCAGGAGCGGAATTTATGAAATGAATAACATGAATTCAAGACGAATACAATTAACTTACAAATGGGAATATCAGCTCAATATTTCAGTTGAAGTCATTTTGCAGGTTTTCGGTGATATCTGCTAAATTAAGAGAATGAAATTCGTGTATTCACAATAAAAAGATAAATGCGTTTTAAGTGGCTATGCAATTGCCAAACCTCACAGTTGCGAGGGACCATTTGATTTTCATTTTCGCTTCAGTAAAACTGGTGAAGCAAGAGGAAAAAACGTTCCCTTATATTTCGCTTACATTTTAAATTTGTAGGTTATTGCAAATATGAGATCACAAGAAATAAAATGTTATCAAGAAGTCATTAAACTTGTTTTAACAAGAATATGATTATTCAAAGACAGGATGAAAGTTCCTTCTTCTAAGACCTCTGTAATTAATTATATCAAAACTAATATAGGCCCCCAAGGCAATATTTTTTACAATAATATTAGTTTTGATAATGAAATACAGCTTTCATTGTTGCCTAGCTAGTTTACATGCTGCGTTTTCTCGAATTTATTCAATATTTTTCTTGTCTAAGTGTTCATGCCAACAAAATGGATTTTTGAGTAAAGAGATTGTTTAGCCAGCTGAAGTGARCAAACTTCACWCTGACAAGAAGACGTCTAGAAAGGCTCGCACATGATTACGGKTTTCAGGGCCGTACTCATATATGCCATTGGCATCAGTTAGAAGTACCCACTATATTTTATATCCTTAGCCAACTGTGCTTTTGTCCTTTGTTTTCAAAASTTATTATTATTTACGCCTTTTGAATTGAATAAATGCGGAATGAAAACAAATGAATAACTGAAAAAAGGAAATGGATAAATCTCCAGCCAGTTTTGTAATGAAAACTAACGCCGATCATAATCGTTAAGGCTGATTTACACGGCACGATTGTCTCGTGCGATTTGTAGTATACGACTTGAATCGCGCAGTGTAAATGCCCATACGACTTGTCTACAACAGTCGTACGCAACCTACGACTTGTAGTATGGTTTTGAACCACTTAAAATCCTACGACTTGTAGTAGGAAAATCGTATACTACAAGTCGCGCGCGACAAATCGTACCGTGTAAATCAGCCTTTATGATATCACAAATATCAAGTGAGATAGGCCAAGTCGGGATCCCCTGGTCTGGACTGAAGATTGAAAGTGCTATTGGTCAAGTTTAGGATCGAAATGATGCCCTTTTGAATCTAGAACATCCGAGTTGTCACTGACGTTCATTCATTCTGATAATCGTATGAAAATATGGGGACTGTAAGAACAAATATGGAAGKAAAATATGCTRTTTTTGTATGATTATTTTCGTGTCCTGGTGATGCCAGCGTCCAGAGAAAGCTCCAAAACCTATTTGATTCCCTACAGAAATGTACGGCCCTCAACACTCATTGAAAACAATTCACTTAAGAGAAAAAAAACTATAACAGATATATAAAATCCACTACAGACAAAGAGAAGTTCAGTTGGTGGTTTCTTTTAATGAAGAATATAGAAATAAGAAATGGATGCAAGTGARAATAGATGAGAAAAGCAATAACGGAATAAAACTCTTCTCTTTAGTCACAGATGGCAAAAACTAATAAAGATTGAATAAATAAACTAATGTCAAAATGATTATCAATGCCGGATGACGTGAAAGGATGAAAGCAAAGATCAGTGAAGTGGTGAATTACTCGATGAATGAATTGTAAACAGAGAATCCACGAAGACAGTAAATCAGTTATAGCTAACAGACGTCGAGTACTTGTTAATAGCRTCTCTTTGCTGTGATATGCCCAATGCTATCTATATAATGCCTATTAAAGTATGGTCATTGATAGTCAAGTACCGTACGTTCTGCGAGGACTAGAATTCTWTCAACCTTCTTGCTTTTTCGGCATTAACAAGTGGTATTTTGGTTTCAGTTGCTGACAAACACGATCATTAACGATGGAAACAAGTGCTCCTACTGCGGCAGCAATGAATGTTGACAACACAAGACAATCTTAAGTCATAATAACCGCCTCGTCTTCCTGCTRCAAGGACCGATCGCCCACACGTAGTTAATTTGTTATCTGACATACTGCCTTAAAATGTCTTTTTTTAACATAAGTATGGAAATAATCATTTATTGAGCAAGATGTCATGTAGACGGTCAAGCAAAAGGACGTCTGCTTACCAAGTATTTTCGTGTGGACGATAAAACCTCGTGTACGAGCTAGAGTGGACACACCCTTTTTTAGTTTAAAATGAGGGTTTGGAAATCATTTCCAAACCCTCATTTTAAACTAAAATCCTTAATACACGAATTTGGCTCAAAATTGTACATTGTTTTGTAATCATGTGCGCACAATATACTCGTGAAATGATTACTAATGATTACGTATCCGTGAAATACATCTATCGTAAACATTGCCGTTTAAAATAGTTTATTCAGTATATATGCGTTATAATGTTTCTGTTACAGAACAGCGTTGAGTTTTTCACCCAAAGCAAGCTGSGTTTTACAGAGATTTGCTAAATATACAATCATCAGAAGATCCTAAAAATAAAATAAAAACAAATAAAAAAACGTCAAACTTTGGAAATTTCAGTTTTAAAGTCTCTACTGCTCGTTAAAAAATAAATAAATAAATAAATAAATAATGAAAATGGAAGTCGCTTATGATGACCTTTATCAATAGGTGGTGTGCAGCGTGCTACTTTAACAACACAACATAATGGGTGATGAAGTCCTCACACTTTTCTTCTTACTCTAGAGTGGTTTTTATATTTTCTTTGTAAAAAAGGCTTAACTACTTCATTTTTTGTAAAGTAAAAACGAAAYTTTCAACAGACAAGAAAAAGTGCTTATACTCCCATCATGCTTTGCTGTACTGAATGGCATTGCTACACATAGCCTATTGCTCAATTAAGCTTTATCTAGCTGTTTTTAATATCACTTAACCATTTTATCTTGACAAAACTGATGAGAGGAATAAATTGTTTAACAATAGGGTGAGTTTCCCCTCTTCACARYCTCAAATGTGATTTTATTGTGTARCTCTTTTTGGAAATGGTTAYTGAATAMATTGGTAAACYTACCTGCATATTGCTGTTCAGCATTGATTCAAATTCATCAGGCGTCATTTTAGGCACAGCTTCTACAAATCCTGTTAACTCACGYCCCACGGCATTGTCAGGAACAATTTTTCCATTCTGAGATTAAATAACAATATTGCAATAGCTGACATTTGTACCTGATTAACATAATTGAGAAAAATTAATGCTCTAATAATACTTTGATAATTGATTGTTCTTACTATAACATTCTCCACATAGCTAATGACATCTGTGATGATATTCAATAAACGATCTGTTGCACTGTTGATCCAAACAGAAATGTGAATAACATAAAACAATATTTTTRAAACAGAAAAGTAGTAAAATTCACAACAAAACATTGAACATTGAGAATAGTTCAATGCCTTTAACTTGTTTTATGTATGATTTCATAACAAGTCAGATATTCTCAACCTCTAAATATGAATTCTGACTGCAACTTCAAAGTAWACAAATATTGGAAGGTAAATCAAGGGGAGGAATAAGGTGTTGTTATACAAGCACATTTCCCACGTAATATTGTAATCAGTCRCAAATCTTTTGATATAATTTTTTTAACAAGAAAAGTACAKCAATTAAAATCCCTGGTTATGACAGAGAAACYCTCTGCAATRTCCACTRYGTAACCTCACCTTGTCACGTGCTGCATATCAGATATGAGTGACACTGATTTCTTTGATGCAATTTTTGTTCTTTGAAGTACCTCAACTAAACATATGTCACAACAACTGAGCATAAATCTGATTTGGATGATTTCTGCATGCATTAATCACAACATGCACCAAGTACGCATGTATTTTAATATTTCTCTAAATTCAGAATACTAACTGGAAATCGCATTGTGTTTTACCTCCAACTTTTTCAGAAGCAGTAAGTTTGATTTCACAAGGAATTTGACTGAAAATAGTTCCTTCYGTCTTCTCAGGGACTCCCATTTTAACACTGAAAGCGAATAAAATGGACAAAAATGTGTTACATTTTATAGCTCAATATTTGACATGAATTATGGAGATTGCACTGTTAATGACTCAACCATGTTCTTGATAACTTTGTTCAACTTTCTGGTAAGTACACAAATCAAAAAGGCTTACTGTATTGTGATATCATGTGGAAAACATACCTCTGATATGCTTTGATTCCCATTTTGTGCCCTTTTAGTGTTGTGTCGACAGTAAGATGGATAGGATTATTAGTTTCTCGTGAGTAATATTCATGGATGAGCAATGAATGTTCTGTTACATCAGGACCAGTAGCATACCTAATACATTAAATAGGCCAGTTWATAGTTGAGATTGAAAATATTTTCATGAAAATAATGTCAATAATATTGACGATAGTTAGCGAGTGATGATTTAGTCATGGCAACGGTATCAATGGATGTTTGGCAWTTACTACAAAAAGCACCAAACTGTGGTGGATTAACTCCTATTTCACTTATGATATCTCACAAAAATCGACAGTCTTATAAAGCAAGGATGTCGAACAAAGGAACTTTATGAATCTAACAATAAAAGGGTGCAGAGCAACCTTATGAATTTATGTRTTCAAACCATGGTTCTGTAGTTTCCACAGTATTATTTCCACAGTGAAATACATTAATAAGTATGGTTAAAATAATAATAGCAAATAACAATGGTTAATTAATTTTATGACATGTGATMAGCTTAAATATATAATATGATGTTGATGATAACAGATGATGTTGGAGATGGAAAATATAGCTTTGACTTTATCCATATATACTCACCATCCAACAATTTGTTCTTTAGGATTGGCTTTATGGGAAAGTTCAAACATACTCTTCGCATATTCCAGTTCAACAGCGACCTATTTTCCAGTGATGAAATTTTCATAGCTTATTTAAGCTCAAGTTAAGAAAGTGTTTTCTCTGTTCTCTTAACACAAAATTGATGAAAAAAGTAGAAGAAATAAAAAAAGCAATATCATATAAACATGTACTTTCAAGTGCACGAAACAAGAAACTTTTCTTCTAACCGGCTTCAATTCTAAGCTATGTTTTCATACCTCGTCGGCGGATTCGTTGTGTGGTACCCCAAAACAGCTCTTAACTTCAACTAATCCTTTGTCAACTACACCAAGAAGTGTTCCTATAACTCTTTTGGCCTCTTCATTYCGCCTTTCAAATGAATCAACGATACTAAACAGGACAACAGGATGAATAAGAACTTTCTTCGCTCGAGTGGTAGCCATCTTGGATTTTACTTCACGTGTGAGAGCTGAGCCAGCGCTGTAACCTGACAGCTGTCGTACAKATTTTTGCTCTTACCCCTCCCCAGTAAAAAATAACAAGTAATAATGATTATTTATCAATCATTAGCTATATTTCACGATAGAATTATTGGACACTTGTATGATCAAATTTTTCAACTATAAAATATCTTTCTACTCATGTGCTCAACATAAGTGAGGAAAATGTTTCTTTTTGCTTAAAATAATACTCTGACAAAATAACTCTTGGGGACCCTGRAAGGGTGACTTTTTTTAGGTTTCCAAGATGGCGGATCAAGGGACAAGAAGTCAGTCAAGGTTTTTTACTTTCAACGGTAGTATATCCATACTGAAGGCTGTTTTTCTATTGATTATACTTCTTCAACATTATGGATTAACAGTTAGTAAAAAGATTGAGACCGATACCATCTCAAAACTTGACGAACTGGTCGTCCAAGTAGAACATTCATTGTTGAAAGAACACTCAAATGACGACGAATTCAAAGATCGTGGGACAATCACACTGCGATCGCTAAAGCAAAAAACAGGCAGTTTTCATCAAAATGACCATTTACCAAGAGARGATTTGCAACTGTTGAAGAAAATGGCTCAAARTGATGCGTACTACCGCATTAGAGTGCCAGCACAGTTTGGTCCCAACGAAGACAACGTCTATGTATCCACATACGTGAAAACATGTGCTTTGTTGGAGTCTAAATTATCTGAAACGATCACGCTATCRGTGGACCAYCTCGGGAACATCTACGGAGTAGGTCTRCGCCTCCCGGTGACACAGTGTAACGAAAATAAACGGTTTGGCGGCCTTCCATCGCAGTTTAACACCACTATTCAAGTTCTACAACAAACACCAGGCGCTTTACCCGACACTCAAACTTATGTCCAGAGACTAGAGAAAGAGAAAGCGGAACAAGCAGCTGGCAAAGGAAAGGATAATCGGTCGTTCTTAGCGAAATACTGGATGTACATCGTCCCTGTKGTTATCTTYATGTTGATGACCTCTCAGAATCCTGATCAGCARGGCGAGGGAGAAGCCAGCTAACTTTGATTGTGAAAACTTTTATACTTGCAAAATAACGACCTTTATTATGGTAGCGAACTATTTATGGATTTGCATTCGCTTTACATTCWGAGAATGGGAGAGGAAAATGGATGGGAGAAAATCATGCATCAAAATGACATTTGTAATCTCAAGATTGTACAAATTGCTCTTGTAAAAGTCATCACAATGTTCTGTTTCTTATTTAATATTGACAAATGATTGTCTTTTTGTAATGATTAGTATTAAGTAGTTGAAAAGCTGATCATCACTGGACTGGCTGTTGAAATTCAAAAGTATGGACTTTTAAAAAAATTTTTACTGATTCCATTTGCAGCTGAGACACTTATTTAGTAAATGATAATGAAGCCCTGAAGAAATATCTGAACACTAATTATAACTTTAGACAATAACACTCCTTAATAGGTCTCCAGTAAAAATGASTATGGGATGTTTATGCATAAAAGTTGTTCAGTAGCCCATATAAGCACCGTCATTTCTGACACTCTTTACTCACTAACCAATACAACTTTTTCATATATCTGGATTGTAAACTGTAATTTGTAGTCGCAAAAGTAGCTTTAGTACCATGTATGTGGACGACTGACTAAAATCCTTTCATTATTTTAAGAATAAAAAAATGAATGAAACCAAATTTCTGGTTATGATTCCTATTAAAATATCACTGTTTATAATTTCAAGAAACACTCAGTCTGTTCTTCTATAATCATCCCGTAAAATCGTAGCAAAGTGATTAGTGAATTTTCCATGTGTTTTTAAAAGTATGGAATTTTCCATCTACCTGCTCTTCAAAAACCACATTTATAAACAAACTCGGAATGCTTACCTAGACTACCGGTAGCCTGCTAAGCGTAAACTTCATACTAAAATGGACCGAGAAAAAGAAGAAAGAATTGTTACTTATATATCYACATTGAATGTAAGTTTATTGTAGGGATATGTTATGCAAATGTTTTTGCCTTAATGACTCCTAACTACTGATAACTTTTCTTGAACTTAAGATAAATCTCGCTGGAAACGAAGCCGATTCCCTCGAAAGAGAAGTCCATGTAGGTATCTATCAAAAATCTGCGTAAAGCCTCAGCATTTTCATTGTTTCTAGCTATCACTATATGTATTTGTCTGCTGAAATCATTTCACTAATTAAATGAAAGTCCTCTCATAAAAACAAGTAAAGTTTCAATGCGATATACTTGGTAACGATAGTTGTGCAAATCAGTATATATTTTTTTTATCGTGGAAGTGAAATACCTTGTAGAGAATCAAAAAGTGGGACTGAAATTCAATGACATGCAACGAGTCATCGTGAAATCTGAAACATTGAGAAATCACCATTGCATCAATCATATTATGTTTTCCACTGAAATTTAATACATAATTCATTGACCAGAACGAAAAATTATCACTACTACTACTAATGGTGGCCAGTACTATTCGTACAAAAGTGTCGTCTTGACACTAGATTAGAGTCTTTGTGGCTAGTTTTTATTGTTAGTTTCGTTGTTTAAATAAAACCTCGTTTAAAARCCCATTATTTTACGCGATATMAGGTTTCATAGTTTCACCTGTTCCTTTGCGTATATCATGGTAACAAAACTAGAAGTTCTTGCAYCAATGTTCCCATTTTACTATTCATCAAAAACYCGCCGAATCAAGGATTCAATGTACCGCCGAAGAAATTTCCAAAGCTACCTTTCTCCAGCTCGAGTTCGGGTATGAATTGGGATTGTTTCTTACACTTTGGGATTTGCGACATGATAATGCAAAGTATAGTTCAAATATTGTAAAATCGTATTAATTTGAGTTGAACATATGCATATTTAGTATATTTTCACTCTAGCCACTTAGACACTTTCGGTAGTCGATCAAAAAACCGATGTTATGACAAGTCATGAAACCTATAAGTGTATTTCAAAAATTAGGTACTTCTCTTTTATGACTTAATTATTTTACTATTATCATGATTCAGTCTACATCTGATCAGAGCTTTAGAGCCACTTACGACAGTAGGAACAACAGCAGCTCCAATTTCGACATCGCCACCGAGAAAGATGTTACATCAGTATACAGGGAAGCCTGCGAAAGATCAAATGGCGGCACATTTTTCCAGCTTTTTTCAAGCCAACAGCATGAGAAACCTCGAGAAGGTGAAAACAGCACATTTCAGAGAGGCAAAGCTTACTTTGAAGGGCTGAGTAGCGATGAAAAGGATTATGGAAGATACAACAACGACATAGAGASWGTGGGAAAACAAGAGGTGAGGTTTTTCATTTAGCAATATAGGATTGCGCGCACTCGCGCTCCCCGGGTCGCGCTCTTTCATCAGTATCAGTATTATGGTGACCGCTGAGAATATCCATCATCATTGCATCATGCCTCTGGGCGTGATTATCGATTTACATGGGCGGCATGTGTCTATCCCTTCAACTGGTGCATAAAGCGTTTCATATTTGTCTCCTTTTTGTCTAAAATTCAGTTTTCAGAATCCAGTGTCGATTATGAATCACAGTCCACTTCGTTCTCGTCGTTTGTGGAAGTTGAGGTAAGGTTATAATAATGACATGAGATTTACTATCATCATATTGCAAGTGAATGGCACTCGCGCTTTGCGCATGCTCATTACCCAAAGCTCTCTGCACGATGTCTCCTTGGAATCAGAGCTACGGAAGGCACTCCAGCTGGACTGGCCATACTTTCGGCGTACGCTTGGTTATTACCTGGCTGCGTGTGACTCTAGATAAACTGCGCATCAAATAACCTTTATAAGTGGGCATTATCAAGGTTGTCTTCAGTGAACAAACAAATCACGMTTCCTCTTCTTCATCACCCTATATACATGTTAAAATATCAATAATTTCGCTTTCAGAAASTCTGCACATCTGAAACAGATTCGACTGACCACTATGAGAAGAATCCATTTGATGAAATGGCGGTAAGGCTGTATTTAAGTCAGCTATGTATTTAAATCAAATATGTCTACTAGCTTTCTAGCCAAGAATTGCAGTGAAAAAGAAAAGGAAAGAAAACGTTMGGCAACATTCATGATATTTGGCAAAAAAAAGGTTGAAAGAAATTAATTCACAATGAYACTGAAATGTTTCATTTTTCAGAAAATTCAGTCGAGMACTTTAGCAACAACGACAACTATTACACAAGAAACGAAGTCAACCACACGCTCAACAACAGCAGAGTCACTTGAGACAACGTCCAGACCCTCAGCTGATTATTATGGCGAGACGGACTGGTACATGGATATATTGCTACGAATGCAAGCTCTTGATATGAAGCAGAAAAATCTAATGGTTCAGTATGACTTCCTGGGAAAATTAGCCAATCAAAACCGACAAGATATCACTCAGTCGAAGGACTGGGGACAATTTGAGCCCGACATGAAAAACATTGGAGTCTACTGATTGAATTGCGTTGGAATGACAACGGAACTGACATMCGACCACAGATTTTGAAAAAAGGTTTTTTTCTACTTTCTCTACTTTGTAAAGTCTTTTTGACAATTAGAAAATGTTTAAAAAGAGATAATAAAAAGATAATTTGTCAGTATAGATGGACGTCCTTGTTCCTTTGTTGAGTGTTGTTAAAGATGCACAATCCAAGCTATTGCAGCATGGTGATTAGCCGTCAAAAATGTAATATATATATAACTTTCTTTCATTTCTATATCGTGTTTATCATAGTGCCATGCGGTCTTCATATTCATATCTTTACATTATTCTATTACCGCAACCTTAACATCTATTTCACCCCGACCTGCTCCCAGTCTGGCCTTGTAGCTCAGCTGGTAGAGCATCGGTGTACAATCCGAAGGTCATGGGTTCGAATCCCAGCGAGGTCGGAAATTAATTTTTCCGAATTTATTCCTAAGGGACTTCTCCCGGAATTGCCTCCTTCTAAGCTCTATAACTTTCTTTAATTTCTATATCGTGTAATATATATATATACTAGTCATGCTGGCCAAAGAATCCATCCTTGTCAGCTTGTATATGAAAGAAAAAATCAAATCTTCGGATTTTTATTCCCTTGGACATTTCATCATAACCTCACAAACTACTCCTGTATGGTAGATTAAATGCACTGCTAGGAAAAGTGACGTAGGTGTACGTATTATGACGTCATRAATAGCACTTGGGATAATTACGTAAAATCCCAAAGGAGAGGGTAAAACCTTACYATCACCGGTGTACTACGAATAACATCCCGTACAGGAGTTATTAGTTTGTCTTGCTCTACAAAAGGTGAGGTAAAAAACTGTTATTTTAAAACATGAATACTATTTCGTCATAATTAGAATTCTGAACCATGTTATTCGCAAGAAAATTAGAAAACTATGAGACGCGCGCGCGTGCTCTTGCGATGAAAAAGCAAATKATCTATGGCTTATAATATCAAACCTATCCAGTATGAATCTTTTTAGAGTAACAGTATAAAATGTTTCTTTTTGATTATAAGTTAATATCAGCTATATGTCTAACATTATAACTAGGTAATTTGCAATGACGCGCTCGACACTCTAAGGAGTGTTCGCCTTATTGTTGGTTACATATGGCACTAGATTTCAGTTACCACACTAATGAATTCTTTGATCAAGCTGATTTCTGTTCAAAGTCGGTATAWTTTAATGATTTAGAACATCGATTACCGTAGTACTTAAAGCGCTCACTATCTATATTCAGAAGTGCGCGTTTCTTAGCAACGAGTCGGCTTGTACATATCTAGCATCTAACTTCTAAAACTAGAATGCAGACTGTTTACAAGTTTTTACATCAAACTTTAGGAAAAAGCAATCTCATAATAGATCTAAATGCATGATGAAGAAAAAGTAGGATTTTATCTAGCTAAGTGATTTTTCGGCACCATTGACTTTAACTAGGTCARTAAACAATGGTCGTTTATACTCTACTAGCTGCCAGTGAAATGTTTGCTTTGTAAGCGTTTATTTGATAGTYGACATTGCTTACGTTTAGACTTGACGTTTACATGTATAAAAATAACAGTGACATTTATATTTCAATTAGTCCGCCATGTTTTATACGACTGAGTGTCATATCACTTGGAAAACTTCTTTTTCATCTCATTAACTTCTTGTGCTAAAAGATCGCACGTGATCATCAGACATTGTACATTTAGTTTCATCTGGACAATGCAAGTAATTTGACTTGTACGTAATATACCTAAGCAAGAATAATAAAATAACGTCTTGGAGGCAGTTTAGGTGGCTGTTTGATTATTTTGCAGTAAAAAAATGGTTTCGTTTTGGACAGAATTATGTTGAAAGTAGAGTTTTTTGACACAATATCATATCTCGCTAATTCGCACGGTGAACTATAAGTTTAATAGTCTAGACATGCATTGCGATATTAAGGCATTCAAAAAGTGCTAATAGTTTTATGGTGAATGCAGTCACTCTTAAAGTGTAAATGACCAATGAACTAAGTTTGCRCAAGATTTTGAATGGACTAGAATGATGGACTTAAAACTATGGTTAMTTAGTGTCGGTGTTAAAYGTTTTTCTATTCATAATGAAGACGCAGCCGGCTCTAACTGTTTTGCATGGTGTAATTGTAATGATATCAATTTGCTGTTGTATTTTTGCACGCTATCTATCATAAAATGATTATAGGTTACGGTTGCTATGACAACTATGACAAGACAAAAATGAATGAGCCCCGAAAAGTTTTTAGTTAAAAGTGGGTTTGTTTTGGGTTCAATTTCTCGATCAGGCTCTACTTAATTAACTGACCAATAGGACTGTGTTTTAATGATCCAGGTGCTTAGGCACATAATAGAATACAGTGAATTGCCCAATGAAGCCTAAGAGCCTTAAGAAATATGGCATTTTTAGGAGACAATAGTGGTGTTGGTATTTTGTAATAATTATCTAGACAAGTAAACACGCGCTCATTTCGTATTAAGAAGGACAACAGAGGTATCTATGGAAACGAATCGAAATAGTGTGAAAATTAGTAGATTTGATTTTAAAAAATAAGTAAGTGATATAACTCAAAAGACAATGGACTTTTTCTTTCGAGACAGGATTCTGCTAACCTTAAAAATATAAATTGTAAAAATTAACGAAGTCAAAATTGAAAAAAATACTCATTACATCGCTTTAAAAAAAAATATTGCATTTTTTAAGTATGTAATTTGTAGAGTCAGTTTTTAACAGCATTCTTAAAACAAAACAAATATTGGAAAATTTCCCGAGTCAGCTTTGAACATGACAATGAAGTGATAGAGAAACTTTATAACTTTTTGTGTCAATGCCATTCTATGGAGCAAGTTCAATGTTGCTACTGTAGTCTAGCTGAAAACATCCTTTTTTCGGAAGTAATAACATTTTGTCTTTCTTAGCAAAACACTCCAGGGGAGTCTCTATTAATAAAAACATTGGAAATTCAAAACAATCCACGAACAATACGTTCTGCACAACAGAAWTACCCAATGATACAAAAAGATGTAGCGTTTCAATTTCCACATTTCACAAAACAATTACAAGAATTTTAGAAGCCATGAAAAGTGTTAGGCTTTTCGTGCAAGAGTTCAAAACGAATGTCGTTAGTAGTTGAAATGCTTTTCAAGTCTTATCCAAAATTTGTTATTACTGACATCACAAAAGAAAAGTGTCAGAAGGCTCAAAACTAGGATGTACTATCAATAATTGATTATCTCAAAAATATAGAAAAAATATCAATAACTTGCAAAGAAATTTTGTAGCAAAAAAAACTTTCATAGTGAATTTGTCAGGTTTTAGGTTTTATTCTAAATTAYTGCATAWTCRCTGTTATATCTTCTCTGYTATTTATTGTTTTTGCATGCTTATTATTAAGCTRCGGAAAGTTCTGATGATTCCCGCCGGSAAATTCAAGTGCAATGAACTAGGTTATATTTAGTACTCATCAATCATTAATTACGCCATTTCCTTAGAGACCTTGTGTTGACTATTAGAGGACCGTGAGGTCGAAGCATCTTTTCTCTTATTTAAAATCATTTCTATACTAAAAAATCTTTTATGACTAAAATTGAACAACACGTTCTTGTGTCTCTAAAAACAGTTCAAATTCACGTGGAGCAAATTCWCACCGGAAGTTAGCTGAAAAGGAAATCGGAAGTGAAATTAAGCCAATCAGAAGTCAGTGAGTTTGCCCTAATAACCTTGGGGACCAATAGACGCGCTAGTTGTGTTACAGACCAGGTGTTACCTAGCAACCACAGACGCTCAGAGATATAAAACAGCAGTGCTTACTGAAAACAGAAATTCCGTAACTCTGCACAAGAAGCATTTGAGTATTTCGGGTCTCCAAACTTGCTTTGATTTTTCTCCAAGTTTGTGGGGAGTTTAACCAACAAGATGACAACTCAGTCGTTTGTAGAAACAGCGAAGTATCTGTCTTCTTCGTCCTTCGATCCCCCGGCATACCTGAGACCGGTCGGTGGACCATACGAGACGACGTACACCGCATCGTTTCAAGGAATCAGGCCTCAYACMTCACCGTTTACAATGAGACCTTTAACTTTRTCGAGATCCTATGAATTCCCTTCTAAGATTCTTCAAGGATCTTCAACAGGATTAGARCATYTRCCGTACTCTACGGTCACCCACCGTTCCATCCACAAGTACACCCCACAACAATGGCGTTCCTCAAATGTGTTGAACGTTTCCTCTGGAGAAAAAGAACGAGCTACAGCTGAGAGATTAAGAGATGAATGTTCAAGGCTTCGTACGGAGACTGCTTTGCTTACTCACCGAACTCAAATGGATGTAAATAAGAAACTGGATAAYCGTATCCATGACATCAACTACTGGAAGGCAGAACTTGAGAARCARCACAACGAGACCGTGGCTGAGATCAAAGCTCTTCAAGCATTCATCGGCCGACTTGAGAAGGCTTTAGCCGCTACAGAAAAACCCCTGAATATCGCTCAACAATGCTTGGGATTTCGAGAAAGGAGAGCTAGGATTGACTTGGTCCACGACAGTGTAGAGAACCATTTATCAAAGGTAAGTGAAGCAAAACAGACATTACAATTAGTAACTTATAAATTCATGTCATTCAGCGAACCGCCATCTCGTGATTTTATTGTAATTTCAAAGCGTTTAAAATATCCTGATCAAGTGTTCGAAAACAGGAAGGGTGRAAATTACGATAGAAGCTTTGATCAATGTTCTAAAATTAACCAATTAGCTGGCATTGGCTACCTAGCAACAGTAATCCAGTCTGCTTCCTTGCTGGATTTTCCATTTTAACACAGGTGCAACCAGACAATTCAGGGTTCTCAARTTTCTTCACTAAAAGCCCTAGAACAACAAAAATTTCCATCATTTTTAGCAGACATTCGCAGACATGGAAGTTGTTTTATAAATTCTTTATAAATATTCCGAAACCGGCAATTTGTATATAATATTAAACTCAAGCCGCATCATAGCAGGGAACAGTCAAATATTTTCAATATCGGTGACATTGTTATTACAAAAAGAGAGAAAAACAACAACAACTAAAATTCTTTTGCAAAATGAAAAAGACATGATAAACAATAAGAAGCTCTTGTCAAAAACTGGTATCAAAATAAAACATGCTCAAACAGTCGCTAAGGATAATTGCCAAATAACCAGACAAAATTCTTGGCGATGAGACAACTTTAAGGAAAATTTAATAGCTAATGTTTTTGAGTTAGTATTTGGGGAAAAATAGATTTTTGGTYYTYTGAARGTTTGTTACATGATTAGTCGACCGAAACGGTTTAAACAAAGACGGTTGCCTGGACACCTGTCGTTGCTCTATTGATTACTAATTTTCGCTAAGCACTGTTCAATGAAAAAACTTCAATAMAAATCTCACAAGTGCGTAAAACTATACCGAAGACGGCTTTTTTTGACTCGTGAAAGTTCTGTATTCGGCATTTTTGGAAATAGTTGAGTTTCAATCACCATGGATGCTAGAAAATCCAGCCTTTTTTTGTTGTATGAGCATTTGGCGTGAATATTAAAAAAAAGAATGTTATCTATGTTATTTTATTAGAAGCATGCAAAGCAAGTTTTTTGTCCGGTGTTTATTAATGTATTATATTTAGCTATTACGGCTTCTGTGTTTTCATCTTTTTTCGCTGCATGTGTTCTATTGTGTGAAGAATCTTTTATTTGGCATTATTGTCATGAAAGGAAGGTTGTATTTTTTGTATTGCAGTGTGTTTATTGACCCTCGACGTATTTACTACTATTGGCTTTTATTTATTAGATTTCTTACAATTTACAGTAAAGCTTTCTTTATTCTCTTTCTTCTCGGCTCGGACTGTAATGAATTCTGCTGTTTCTGATTTCTTTTGTCGCGATACTTTTGTCTTTRTCATTATATTTCTGCCTTTCTGCTTTCCACAAGGAACATTGTCGAAAATGTAAAATAAGCATTTTGAAAAAATAACATTTACCTTCCGCGCGAGTTTGTAATGCTGCAGTTTTTAATAAAGAAACTGTTTTGTTCTTTCAGGAAGTTGAAATGATTGAAAATGTACAAGCTTTGTTRAAGAAAACCATGGATCAAGCACATGAACAACTGTGGTAAGCAAAGACTAGATTTTGATTTAATGCACGTAATAGCGAGACTGTAAACTTCGTCCGAGTCATTGCTCTTACAGAAGGGGCTTTTGGGATTGGGTTAAGAAAGCAATTCTACTTTGGCCTTCCCATGTTGCAACGCGAGCTGGCTACATTCTTCCCATCAGGCACTTTGCGCATAAGGAAGAAGCAATTGAGTGCGAGTATGGTGCACTTTAGCTGCGAAGTTATCATCAATTGTTTATATTATTAATATAAACATTCACAAAGATTAAGTATATATATTTTTTGTTTACTAGGCTCCTGCGAAGCGCTAAAACTCAGCTCGAGAAGGACTTGGGCGACAAATATGGTGCGCTGAACATTGATGGAAAATGTTCTACTCTCAACAACTTCTCCAAGGAGATCCATTTTGCACCAMATTCTGTAACAATCCAGCAACAGTAAGTTGAAATATCCTCTGTTCAACCCGTCCTAACATAAGTGCGTAATTATCTTAGTGTCGGTAGTACTATCATAGTGTAGTATCATATTATAATGTTGTTTTTAATTGTGTGTCCTTCTTTCCAGCTCTTTCACACCAGATGAATGGGAAGGCTATTCCTCAGAAAACATCGCTAAGGCTGAACGAGAAAGAAAAGCATCAGTTGCTTTGCGTTCTGAGATCAATGGAATCCTTATGCAGACGTACGTCGACTTGAAGAACATCTACGAGACAGTGAACAACGAGTTCTCGAAACGYATCCAGGAGACCGATGCTGCCAAGAAACAACTGGAGAAAGAACTTGCAAGGGTAGGTGTCCTATCTGAGATTTGATAGACTTGGCAGAAGAATTGATTGATTGATTTGGATTGATTGAATGATTGACTATGGGATGATGTTTTCCTACATGTAGTTGCAGTTTGGATTATATGATTGATTGATTGGTTGGTTGGTTGGTCTAGCTGTTTCTCTGGGTTTCGTCGGTTGGCTAGCTGCGCAATTGACTGATTGAGGTTTTCTCCTTAATAGGTAATGGATGAGCTTGCCTCGATGGAAAACAACATCCGTGACCTCAGAATGGCCATTGCYGAGAAAGAAGCACCACTCAAAGTTGCCCACACAAGACTAGACAAGCGCTCAATCCGTCCTAACGTTGAGCTGTGCCGAGATCCTGTTCAATACCGTCTTGTGAACGAGGTTGGTGAGATCAATACCTCAATTGACAGGCTGAGAATGAGACTTGCTGAGGCTGAGGCATCCATGCAGGCGTTGATACGTAACAAGGAAAACCTGGAAGATGACATTGAGGTGAAAACAAACAGCTTATTTATCGACCGAGACCAGTGTATGGTTATCAGGCAACAGACCAGGCATATATCTCACTAAGCCACCTTAAATCTTATTTACTAGAGCCACCTTAATTTCCTGTCAGTAAGATCACACGCGGGCTCTAGTTAAATCTCTGTGCTAAGTATCGAAATATAGGAAAAGCTTACTATCATGGAGAAATATACTGTTGGAAAATCGAGATTTGTGAATGATTTCAATACTCCAAAAGCAAATTCAGCTGTATTGCACTGTGAAATATTAAAAGTAATTGCTAAATATGATAACATTTTATGCTAAATAACTATTTTAGGCCTTTTTTTYACCCTAAAGCGTTTTCTTCTCCCTTGAATTTTTTACGTCCACAAAATGCAGAAGATAAACCGACGAATGTGGGAAAATTATTACAATAGCAATTAGTATAGCTCTTTTAAAAAAAAATCCTTTTTAGCCGAAAAAATATTGTAAAAATTCATTATGGATTAATTATCAGCAGCAGCCATTTTCACTGTATAAGTGAATGAGCCGAAAAGATATTGATTGAACGGAGTCGGAGAGATTGGTGATTGCACGATGGCAATGAACTATGGGTATTAGCTTAATTGATTAATTAATTAGTTTTATTAATTAGCAATGGATCGATCACTATTAGAAAGCAATAATGTTGAATTATATTAGGAAATATGAGGATGTATGTACCTACAGSAATTATTTTGATTTGCGCTGTATCTAAAAAAGGTAACCATGGTTCCTTGCGTGCGAGCAGTGACGTCATTCTCTCCAGGCAACTCCTATTAGCTTTATCTTTTGCCGAGTATGAATCGAAAGTTGTATATAATTATAGTTTTCTTTTGAAAATCTTATTGTGGGGAAAGATGTATTAATTTTTGGTTACGAAAGAACAAGTGAAGACAGAAGTACTTCTGGTGAAGAGCAAGGTTTCTGAACCAATTGTTCTATTATCCTCCGGAAAGTGAAACTCWTTGGTTTCGGAACCGTGATTTCATGAATCGAATCAAAATATGCTCTAGTAGATCATCGAATTTAGAAAAAAATTGGTTGTAAGCGCCGGMTATTATATGATCACTTGTGTTTTTTATCACTTTTAGACGCGTGCCTTGTTAATTGTGTGAAATTGTTTAAATCAACGTAAAATGTACTAGTAAAAAGAAAAATTGTTAACAGGTAGTGTTGCAAGAGTGTTGATTTTTCGTCGCTCATTGTTGAAGTGAAGAGATGTTATGAGACAACATTTCAAAAAATAGAGGAAGTCTTAAATACATAGCTCTCTTGCGATGCTATAAATGTTGATCGGTTTGATTTAAAATAGTGAAATGTTAACAAAATATTTCTATTTATATGTTAAAAAGCATGTGAAGATTTGGAAATAAAAGATTGCAATAATTAAGATGGATTTATTTGTTGACTTTTACCCCGTTCCGCATAGGATTTTAAAACTATGCCGTCGTACTAGACGTCTGCAATGGAGGCCAAACAAACGATAAATGACTCCACGACTATTTTTCCCTCTTCATCATGAGGCCTTGAATTTGAGAGTCACCTGGCTTAGTAAAAATAGTAAGAAATCAGTCCAATATGGCGGTCAAAATACCGCAGAGCGAGGAAAAAATCCAGACTGAAGTCAACAACATGCTATTGAGATATGGATGAGCTCTTTACGGTCGACAGCTAATACCGTGATTTAAAAACTAGAATTAGACTGACAGCGGAAAGAGTAGCAAATTGTTTTGAARCATTGAACACAAATCACTAGTCATGTTGCTTAATGAGTCGATACCATTTTCTGACGAACCAACTTAACTATACTACAAGACATCATTGCATTTAAAAATAAAATGATACTAATTAAAGTATTTTACTGTTTTCTTGTAAAAAGCCAACCATAAAAGTTTTTGATTCAAAGTTTRGGAAAGTTCAATCGTAACTGAGCTTTCGAAAGGAAAGGGCAGGTAAGGTACGTACGATTCCTTGTGATGCTTTGATAAAGGATTGACAAGGGCGCACCCAGTAAACATTTTAAGGTGGGGGGAAATGAGGTTCACATGTCATCGGGAGTGGCCATGGAAAACTGGTTTTCAAAAATGGATTCTTAGAGAAACTCTAATTTAGTACTTTCATCTTCTTTTCATTTATTATTTTTTCGAATTTTTGAGACGCAAATCGTTTACGTACGAAAGTATGCTATTTTCGTTTGCGTTCTTGAATCCAAGGGCGCTTTATATYGAATGAAGCGTGGCGATGGTTCAGATCTTCGTTTCGATCGAGAATATCCAGCCTAGTGTGATTACAATCCTTTTTTGTGTGTGTGAAGAGACACACATTTAGTAGTAGTGTTTGGATAGTTTACTTATAAAAAGCCGGGAGGCGTAAACATATTTTGGCAGTTGCTGACCTTCTTGATCGTTTCGATTCTTATGCAAACAAATACTTTGATGTTTGGAAACCTTCTTCACAAAATGCTGTCCCAGGCCGGCTCCCCCCATCCCTTGATGAGTACAGAACTTAGCTTCTGTTCTACGGACTGAACCTGGAAACGTCAACCACATCACACCAACTTTCACTGCCTTTCACTGCAGCAAAGGTATTGCTATRATTTACTAACTGAAACGATCATAAGTGACAGTTATTCTATTATATATATGATGCATATTACTATAATGTCGAACTAAATTCTATTTTCCAACAATATGCTTTTAATATGAACAGGTGAGCCGTATACAAGAACATCTCTAAGATGTAGCAGAGTTAATAGCATGAGACACCTCTCATTTTACCTTTTCGTTTTAGTTTTACTGACTTTTCACTTTTTTATGTTCTCAAAACTATGACTCCCCTTTTTTTATCAGGAGTAAGATGCAAGTAAAGCCTGCTTTTCTGGTCAATGTTGTGTTARTTTGTTTGATGACAAACGTTATACATTTGCAAGCAAATAGAAGTTATGAACATGGACGTGACTCGAACGAGTGTCCTAAGCCTCGTGTTGGAAAGTGTTCTTGCAAATGTAWTAGGAATTTATGCAAAGTTGCGTGTTCTGGGCTTGATGCCATGCCTATACATCTTCCTCCAAACATAACTCATTTGTAAGTATAGCCATCAACTACTATCAGATATATAGTTCTCAGTAAACACACAGTCATCACAATACGTAATATGTTTAATCCATCGGGACTCGTATATCACAGATTTCTGTTTATTTTCAGAGAAATAGCCCATGGATCAATACAACATGTGCCAAAGGACTACTTTCTTAACCAAGATTTGATGTTTACACTGTAAGACAARTATCGTGATTCACATAAACTAGAAATTAGAGTAATTAGAAATTACCTTTTCATTTTTCCAGAAAAATATCATCCAACCAACTTTCGACCAAATTTCGACTTCCAAAGAAAGTCAAAGATCTGTGAGTACTCTGAAAATTGATTGTGTGTGTCCAAACAATATYGCACTCCTTAATTTAGCATTTATATTCAACCATCCATGTCATCCATTAACCTGCGTAGCAGCTCTAAGGGGACTGGCGAGGGCCATGCGGAGATGTCCTTCCCAATCTCCACTCGCCTCCCTCATTGACCAATTGAGTTACGAACCTACAGGACCCATAGTCCATTGTCAAACGAGACGWTTTTTTCTCATTCACGAATTTAATGAATTTTATTGTCAAGTGACCTTCACGAAAATAACCTGAATGGTTCAACTCTTTATGGCATGTTTGATGGTATTATTGGAATCACCAAACTGTAAGTCTAACTAGTTCATGACTGTCTATTCCGGCGTATCTTTGCGTGTGTTTTCCGCCGTGGTTTATCCCCTAGAGTATTTTGTTGTTCTTCTACTTTCTGTTTTTCTTTCTTCACTCGAAGTGTTTGTTTAGTTTACGTAGAGTGATCGCAGGTTTGGCATTTATTCTAATTTCTATCTTTCGTTCTTTTCTTTGATGTCGTCATTTGTTACTTTGTTGCTTCAAGTCACTATTGTTATTTTTGTATATTTTTCAATTCACTTTGTTTAACTGTACGAACAGAGATCTCTCATCCAATAACATTGGTRGCATCATTCCTGGAACATTCAAAAGCTTGAAGAATTTGAGARTTTTGTAAGTTTAGCCAAAAATTGATATTTTTTGTGGTTCCTCGCGTTAAGATGGTTGTTAAACAATGTCAATGTGTTGTAAGCAAGTAAGTAACATTTAAAAAAATTATTGTCGTGCTGTTCTATGCACTCCTGTGACTTATAAGGCTGTTGAGACGTTTTTGCTCTCTCTGACATTTGAATCTGATGGTCTGAATTGATTTGCAGGCCAAGTCCGGGACCTAAAATCGCCTAAAATCGCCCAAAATCTCAGTAAATCGCCTTAGATTTAGATGGGTTTTTGGTGATTTTTTCTTAAATCGACTGAAATCGCTTAAAATCGCCTTTAATCGCCCAAAATTACGGCGATTTTAGGTCCCGGACTAGGCCTATTTGCGGCAGAAGCTATTTTGAAGCAGTACACTTAATTGTTCATTATCTTGTTGACAAATAATTCAATCCTCCTATTTCGTTCAGGTCCTTAGAACACTGTAACATCAATAAGCTCTACAAAGGAACATTCGATAATTTACACTTGTTATCCGAGCTGTAAGTACTAATATTTTCCATCATCATCATCATCATCATCATCATCATCATCATCATCACAAGCATCATCATCTTTGTTATTGTCTGTCTTGTTTAGGGTATTAAATGCAAATCCATTAAAAAGACTCAGCAAAGAAACGTTCCATGGYATTAAAAGCCAAATAGGATTAAAAATGTGAGTTTCTTTTTAATTTCTTTTTAACTCTTCAATTTAATGAATTCATTAGGTAAACGCTGCAGTTTTGAATTTTTATTAAATAATTTCGAGTTTATCTTTTCATTTTTCTGTTTAAAAGGAGAATACAAAATTGTGAATTGGAAGTTATCGAAAAAGGAACATTTCAAGATATGCCATTTGTAAATAGTCTGTAAGTACTTAAATCACGCACATGATGAAAAAAATTAAACTTTCGATTCAGAAACTGTGTGTTTTTTATCATTTCACTCTTACAGGACGCTTTCTTATAATCAATTTACAAGTTTTCCTAACCTCCATGGAATCGGAGAAAACTTACAGGAACTGTAAGTTGCATCGTATAATATCGTACTAACAGTATAATTTCATCAAATAAGTTATCGCCCACTCATCAATATTTACAGGGATTTATCGTACAACAACATTGCTAACATTTCTGGTATCACCAAATCAGGAATCAAAGCACTACTTCAACTGTATGTACATTCTGAACTATTTCTAAAAAAAAGTTATTTGTAGCATATTTTTTACCTCCCTTCTACTCCTTTTCTCCTTACGACCTTTGTTCGTGCTCTTCGGCACGTCCCCATACCATGCCTATCTAGACATATAAACAGTTTATACATTACTATTCTCAAGTGAATGATTTATGGATCTCGCTTAAAATACACAGAGACTTGAGCAACAATCGGATAGAGTCGATACTTCCAGAACACTTCGAGAATATCACTATTTATACTTTTGTGTAAGTATTTCAATAGCGGTCAKTATACATTCATTTTAATGTAACTTCTGGTTAAGTTAGGGGTTGAGAGGGGGGTTGGAATTGGTGTGTGAGTGTGGGGGGAGGCGGGGGAAGGTCTGGAAGGGTGGTGGTAATTTCTTTTTCGCTTTTATCGCTCATTCCAGCCCTTCCTTCATGATAATTATTGCGCAGTCCATAATAGGTGCTGATCGAATGTCAACGTTTTTGTTGATTAAGGTCACTTTCAGATAACAAAATCAAGAAAATTCCTGCGGGTATTCTTAAGAAATCCGACAATTTAATTCARTTGTAAGTCACACTCTTGAGAGTCAATTTCCTCTAGAATAATGTTTTATTATATCAATAATGCTATATCATTGTATAGGATTCTACAAAATAATCAAATTGAAGTCATCGAAAAGGGAAGTTTTGATGGAATGACAAATCTGAAGAAAATGTAAGCCCAAAAACTGATCATACAATTCTTAGGATCTTACAATCTACTACGAGTATTGATTAGTTTCTTGTTTTTCATTATGTGTTTTATAGATTCCTTTTTAATAATAAATTGGATTCTCTTCCTGATGATATTTTTAATGGGATGTCTCTACGAAATTTGTAAGTCAAAGTTTAGCCAAGGCAGTACCAATAGAACTTTTACTAATACGGCTGCCATCTTGAATTTTGAAGAAAKTATGGGGTATCCATCTTTTTTATTGTTTATCAGGTKTTAAAATATGAAATTTTTAGATTAAAATCACATGGCATTTTAAAAGCCCTACAATCTATGAATTTCCTGTTTAGTGGCCCGCTCCTGCGCATCGTTTTTTACTAAATTGATACTTAAAACTATAGAATTCAAGATGGCGGCCGACGCGAGTTCACCGATGCCATAAATATGACTTTATTACTAAAAAAAATGATATGTGACAGTACTCGAGAGTGCTTAAAACTATTGTGCAATCACTTGGCTAGAAACTTAACAATATGAACTTTCTATGGTTTCCGTTTCAGGTTTTTGAACAATAATAGATTTAGAAATCTTACTGGAAGACCATTCAGGGGAATGAAGACATCAAGCACTCTTGATCTGTAAGCTTGTTGTTTTGATTTTTTTTTCGCTAGAGAAACGTTAGTAAAATCCATCTCATTCATTTTAGCCTGCGTAGTCGGCCAGATCTATCCTGGTCCACAGGGATCCCAAGACTAACGCATTACGTACATGCACTCGTTTGAGTTCATTTTGTATGTCTGTTTAGATATCTTTTCTCAAACCATATCGGACACATTGAAGACAACGTCTTCAAAGATTTAGGAAACAAAACAACAATGTAAGGCCATAAATAAGAGCTATATAAGCTATACTGATAAACTATTTTTGACTATTTACATTTTGCTGCAATCTGGACCGTTTTCGTTTTGGTTCTTGCAGTGCGTTGAGATGCAGAAGTCTCGTAAATATTCCACTAGTCGAAAAGTCTTCACTTGGACAAATGTAAGCAATTCATGTATTGAATAGACTTCTGAAGCTTTTACGTCACTACTTGATTTTCAATGCATTGTGGGATTAGTTTGTAGAGAAAACAAAAGAAATCCGCCATTTTCTGTCCCAAACATATCCTACAATGCATT